AATCACTTATATACGGGTTTGTAAGAACTGTGTTTACACGCAAATGGAATTCAAAGCACGTTTTTGCCTCTATACCTTTTTCTAATACCTGAATAGGAAACATCAGCGTCAGAGAATAACCAGAAACGGTTATCCCACAAAGCAGATTTCATAGAGGACCAATGTGTGAAGCCCATTTCTGGTGTCCCCCTCCGTGATATTGCTGGAATATTGTTAAATCGGCGTAAACCCCAACTCACTCACTCACTCACTCATAGAGGACAAAAAGCAGTGCAAACACTTAATGTACCTCAAATAGCATTTCAAGTATATACACTCACGTGCAAAAGAAAAAATTTCAACTGCCAAACAACACAAGCACAAACACGAATTGATCTGCACGTTTAATAGGCATAACGAAGGTGTATGTAAAGTATGTCTGACATAAAGAAAGAGAACGTGGTAAACCTGACAGTGGTACAGGGAATGTTATCACATAGGGGCCGATTGACCAGTATTCGAGCGCAAGCCCAAACAATAAATGACAAAACTGAGGTTGAAATGAGAAGGCAGATCGTCAATACCGTCTCCTGATCACGTGACTGGGGATCTGACGCCATTCTGTCTGTAGTGCCTGAGCCATTGCATTTATCGTCAATGGAGGGTGTGAAAGCTGTAGAATCCGACGTCCAAGATGGTCCCACAAGTGGGATCTTGGGGACCAAGGCTAGACATTCACGTTGTTGACATTGAGAAAGGCCGTTGTGACAAAAGCGTAGTGAAGTGTGCCATTGTCTTGTTGAACAAAGGTTCCTGGATATTGCTGGAGTAAAGGCTGGATACGGGGCCGCAGAACGTCATCAATATACCGACGGACTGTCAGGTTGCCATTGATGGCAAGGGGGTCGGTATTGGTGTTCCCACAAATGCCACCCCAAACCGTCACACTCCCTCCACAATATGGTTACATTTCCTGAACGCAACGACGTGACGTCCGTTCCCCACGCCGTCGGTAGACACGTCTTCGGTCGTCAGTTCTGTTCAAATGGAACCTACTCTCGACGCTGAAGAGGACCCGTTGCCGGTTCCGTTGCTGCCACTGACAAACATTCTTGGCCCAAACCAATCTTCGACGTTGATATTCCGGCGGTAACGTCATGTACCTCAACGGTCTAAAGGCTCCGATTTCCATGTTGACGGAGTCGTCTGGACACTGTCCACCTGCTGACGCGATGACCAACACTATGCACTGATGATGACGTCACGGCGAGGAATCTGTTCCTTGAATGAAGCGTCGGTATATAACGGTCCTCTCATGGGGTAGTGACTTCCGGTCGCCCGCTCCTCGGCCTGTCTGCTGTCTGGCCAGTTTGTCTGTAACGTGTGACCAATGTCCCAATCGTCCTTTTGGCACGACCCAGGATTCTTCCAACATGGTCGTGCGTTGTCCCCAGCTGCAGCATGCCAATCGCTCTTTCTCCCCTGTTCTGCTGTTAGTCGAGGCATGTTCTTCTGGTTTTTCAGATGATTGTGATCGCAAAGAACAGTTTCCAAAAGTGTTTCATAACCGATCTCCATACGAGTGATTTTCTGCACGTGCAGGAAATTTCACTGCATAAAGTCATTTTCCCCGCTTCTGACAAGCATCACGTGCATTTCCTTGGGTTGTTATGCCTTTGTGTGTTTGGGCAATGTGTTCCGAACTGTTTTACCTGTTTTTGGCCTTATCCAGCAAATATAATATAATTTGAATTTTGTGGACGTTTCTTTTACACGTGAGTGTATGTATTTATGAGAAATTGTAAGAGTATTTTCCTGGTCACAGTGGAGACCAAACGATGTCAAGGTCCCTCTAAACGATGTCAAGCTTTTGCAGATGTGATTCCGTCGTGTTGATAATACAAATTATGATGAGGCTCTGTGCATCTGTATTTACCTTGTACCAATGTAATATAGCAATATATTTCAATAAGTAGTGTTGCTCACAGGTTGTGTGATCAAAGCTACAACATTTAAGGCCTCTGTAAAGCTATAAAAAGAAGTTGTGGTAGATATGTGGAGGAAATCCGTGGAGTTCCAGTATACGGAGTTGCTTCCCTTAGATCCATACCGAGATCCAGTTGCTGGGAGTTCGAATCCCCAAGATTGGCTTCGAATATGATCCTTGCTCTGTCAGCGCTATACCTGCTCTTGTGGGTTTAAACGTGGTACGGGGCAGTGGGATAGTCTAGTGGTTAAAGCGTTTGCTCGTCACGCAAAAGACCCGGGTTCGATTCCCCACATGGGTACAATGTGTGAAGCCCATTTCTCGTGTCCCCCGCCGTGATATTGCTTGAATATTGCCAAAAGCGGCGTAAGCCCAAACTCACTCACTCACTAAAACGTGGTACGTGGGAGTCTGACAGACCCAGGTGTAACTGAAATACTAATGACGAAACCACGATTTCAGGCTTCCGACTTGCCCAGGGGAGGTCACTCTGCACAGCAAACTGCAGCAGCTAAGACGACCGAGCTCCCTGTAATCCCCTGCAAACAATCTCACGCCATATAAGTATAAATATTTAATTGTCTCGTGTCAGATGGAACGGGATTAACACAGATAAACATTAAACCACAGTATGAGACTGGATATTCGCGCCAGCAACAAAAGAATAATTTTCAGTCGCACATATATCGTAGGTCGTACACTGGTTATGGTTGATTTTGTTCTTTGATTGAGATTGCGACGACAATAAAGGTCAGCGGTGCGTGGAGGGTCCATTGATCTACTGTACATCGATACACGCAGGGCTCTCTCAACAAAAACACACGCAAACACACCACCTCGACCCTGAAATCTCTATCCCCAGTGTAATCAGTGATAAGGAATGATTCAGCAAAAAGATCAATATAAAGAATTAAAATACCATTTTACCGAGCCAAATCCCGACGTGTGGTGGCTTTAACACCGCCTCCAGTTAGGGAGAGTCCCAAGGCAGCGCTGATCTCAGTCATATATTGAAATAGCCTAATTGGTAAAGCGTCCGCTCGTCACGCCGAAGACCCGGGTTCGATTCCGTACATGGGTTCATTGCGTGAAGCCCATTTCTGATGTCCTCCGCCGTGATATTGCTGGAATATTGCCAAAGCAGCGTAAAACTAAACTCACTCACTTGTTAATATGAGCCTAGACAGGGTTTATTGACATCCATTTTTTGTTTAACAAAAGCAGGTTGACTTAGTTTCACAAAGCAGTGCTATATCCTGGGGCCAGTTACATGCGTGATGGCTGTCTGTTGCCATACACTCTATTGATTCATTCTTCCTTTACGGCGTCGTGGCGTTTTTAAATCTGACACACAATGATTGTACAAATATAAAGGCTAACCAATCTCACATTGTCAATGGTCGCAAGGGTTTATGATATATGATATGCATTCTCGCTTCATTAAACATACCGTTCTCAATGACATTAGATAACCCTTGGTGAGTGGTTTATATAAAGTTACTACTAGACATGGAGTGTTGTAATAGAGTGCCAAATCAAACAGATCCATTGATTCGGTTTGAAACCCGAATCTGTTTGAAACCACATTCACTTGACTTGCAACCAAAATTAAACATTTCTTTTTGAAATTTATTATTGATTCATTTTATTAATTTATAAAGTTATTAGTTAACGAGCGCATGTCAAAAAGCATCTGATCTGAATTTGTTTCAAAGCAGATCGACTTGACTAACAACCTCATTCCCCATACATGATGGATGTGCATCCAAGGTCCTACCATAGATTCGGTGTCAAACTTAACCTCAACTTCGCCTGGCGAGCACCTGAAATAACCAGCATGCTGATTTAACGTGGCACTTGCCTTACCACAGATATACGTACTCGGCGTATAATCTTATTCCAAAATGACCTGAGTCCCGATCCACAAAGCGTTCGTAACATTACGACCTGTCGTAACTATATAGTTTACCATTGGCTTACGAACGTCGTAGCACTACGAATGCTTTGTGGATCGGGACCCAGAGTCCCGATCCGCAAAGCGTTTTTAACGTTACATGTCGTTACTCTTGGCCTTCGTTTTCGAAGCTCTCGTAGAGCTAAGATAGTCGTAAGAGAGCTTCGAAAATCTAGGCCCTGTACTTTACCATAGGCTTACGAATGTTGTACCACTACGAACGCTTTGTGGATCGGGACTCTGTTCTTGAGCCTAAACAAATCATACACTCGTATAAACAGAATTCCCTCTACAGAATCCCCGATATAGAATCCCCCATATAGAATCCCCTGTATATCCATCCCATATAAACTTTATGTGCAAACTGAATCAACCTGCATGGGCTAGGCGTGTGACATGATACACTGCGTGCACTTTGCAAGAGTCATGAATCATCTTATGCTAGATTATCGTGTATTCAAAATCAGCCAATAGTGTGCACCCTTCAGAAACTTCACGTGCAAACGGAAACGTCTATATTGGTTTGGCGTGCATCCAAAATCACCCCATATTGTCCACCCCATATCGCCACCGCCTGAAGCTGATTCACACAATGTCCTAAAACATTGAATTTAGATGCTGTCATTAAGGATTTGTCAATAGGTATTGTTCATATATACGTGTGTCTTGCAACACTTTACCTACACACACCTGTGAAGATCTGAGTTAGAATTGGTCTTCAGCAAGAGGCGACTAACTGCCCAGATAGCATTCAGACGTTGGCCCAACGTTGGCAATGGCTTTGCCTACATTGCCAACGTTTGGCCAACCTCCGAATGCTATCTGGGTGGACGGGGTAGTCAGGCTTGCTGACTTGGTTGACACATGTCACCGTATCCCAGATGCGTAGATTACTGCCCATGATGTTGATCACTGGATTGTCTGGTCCAGACTCGATTATTGACTGACCGCCGCCATATAGCTGGAATATTGCTGAGTGCGGCGTTAAACAACAAATAAGCAAACCTGCACGTCATCATTGTCATTTGACTGTAAATGTTCTTGGGAGCATGTGTCCAGGGAGTTTGTTCTCTGTTTCAGTGTGATGGGAAGTGTTCCGACATTGGAGACGGTGGCGAGGGATGTTGGTACACCCTCTGGTACCTATGGTGAGTTGAATGATAATAATAATAATAATAATAATAATAATAATAATACCAGTAGACTGCTGGGCTGAGTGAGTTTTACTCCGCTTTCAGAAATATTCCAGCAATATCACATACATTCAGTCATTGTACCCATATGGGGAATCAAACCCAGGTCTTCGGCGTGACGAGCGAACACTTTAACCACTAGGCTACCCCACAACCCCAGCCTGCTCCAAGATGCAGTCATTTAATCCCCTGACAATGTCCGGTCGTGGTGATAAAACTTAAAAATTCATTCAATGTTGAAAAATTGAAAATGTCGACCTCCGTAACAACGTCAACTACCTCCGTAATAAGACAACGTCTTGCAGTTACCAGTTAACGAATGCGTGACCTATCTGAATTGTTGATGTGGGTTATTTCTGACTGGGCTTGGGTCCTTGGCCAAAATATTCTAGGAAATCCTGAAAATGTCAGTGAATAAATGAATATTATTGCTTTCAGCATTATTCATATATCTTATATCACAGTGGGATGACATTTGAAATAAGGCTGCACATTGCTTCAAACGTAAAGTAGACATTCAAACCGTTGTCCCCCGCGGTTCATTGTCATAGACACCTTTCACTGTTGGGGCAGCGGGGTACCAAGTGGTTAAACCGTCCCGCTCGTCAGGCTTGAGACCCGGGTTCGATTCCCTATATGGGTACAATGTGTCCATTTATAGTGTCCACCGCCGTGATATTGCTGGAATATTGCTAAAAGCGGCGTAAAACTAAACACACTCAACCGCACCTTTCACTGTTGGTTTGGCCGAAGTGTGAGAATTTCAGTTATACCATTGCGTGTCTGCTTAATGTGGGAGGGAATTCCGAAGTAATGTACTTCAGTGAAACACGGGCATGACGGTGCTGACAAACCTAGAAATATAATCGGGACGAACCAGAATTCGAAGCTATTATCACAGGTTTCTGGCACACCCAAGGGACGCAACTCTGCAAAGTTTCTCACTAGGGGCACGGCAAAATCATTTTATCATCATCGTACCTTTAAGGGTTAACTTGTATAGTGCCTGGCGAGTTTCCATCAAGGTCCGTGTTGATGGAACACTTCGTTTCAGCTCCTGGCTACCGTCGACATTTCCCCGTAGTAATCATTTACAAAGATAGTGCCCTGCCCAGTTCAACAAATGGAAAAATAATAACACACCCAAGGGCTCACCTGGTCGTGAAGCCTCAGGACGTATTCAACTGTGACGTGTACAAACATGGGGGGATCAATAAGTTGATTAGAACATCACAGGTAACAGACAGTCCCTTGGGCTGATCCCAGAACTGGTTATATTAATGGTAGGATGTGCAGTGTCCGATTTCTGCCTATATAACAGACTCACGTGGGACGTGCAATGGGCGTGCGTGAAATTATCGCAAGCCAGAAGAGCTCCTTAAATCAGCTGCTTATTCCTTCTATAATCCACTCACTCAAACAGGTATCGCACGATGTTAACTAACAAAAAGCTATGTGTGTCATCGAACTTTTATTGCTTCAATACAATACTGTAATATTGCAAATTCAATATTGTAACATTGCAAATTCAATATTGTAACACTGCAAATTCAATATTGTAACACTGTAAAAAGAATTGAAACCACTGCCTCATTGACACAAAGTTATACCTTCCAATATACACGCACTATATTATACAACCTCTCAGCAATAACTAATTCCAGTATTGAACAATCACAGAAATAATTAAGGAAATAGTTTCCAAGTCTGTCATTCTTTAAGGTTTAATACCGACATAGATTCCGCATGTTCTTTGATCCAATCAACACACGACCTATGATCAGGGACTATAGTTACACAATTACTAGGCCTTCTTTGATGGACTTTCAATGACTAGGCCGCACGCCATGTTTAATTGCATTGCGTGGGGCAGGAGCACGGTAGCGTACCACGTCCCATGCCGACCAAGAGCTATTTAAACAATGTTTATCTATATATTTATTAGTTATTACGTACATAAAAAGAAAACTGCTAGACTTGCTGAAAGGATGGGCTTGACATCTGGGTCAAGAGTCAGAGCGCCGGACCTACGTATACGAACAGAGAGTACATTTGTTTTTACTTTTCTCATAGCGAGCAAAGATTAGCAATTTGTGTTCACTTAAGGTGTACACAGATCCCTTGACCGTGGGATTTACAACACAATATTTAATCTTGCTGTTTTCATGAAACTTGTAAATATCTTTGTTGTTGTGTTACACTCTCACGTTGTAGGAGCGGTGGGGTAGCCTAGTGGTTAAAGCTTTCGCTCGTCACGCAGAAGACCCGGGTTCGATTCCCCACATGGGCAAAATGTGTGAAGCCCATTTCTGGTGTCCCCAGCCGTGATATTGCTGGAATATTGCTAAAAGTGGCGTAAAATCAAACTCACTCACTCACGTTGCAGAGGTTTCTGTTTTAGCAGGGTCTCACTGAGTTTTGTCAGTAATACATATTGTTCTGATCGTACATTCAAAATATGTAATTCTTTTGCTGCAAATCGCAGGTAAAATACATACAATTAAAAAAACACCATTCTCATTTTTCACATATTACATAACTTAAACACCGGCAGAGCAGAACACCTTTTTACAAACACCTGCTGTCATCACTGAGAAGAAGAAGTCAAGTTTCAGGCCACAATCCCATAGAACATACATATTACACAAAAATACAAATGAATAGTGTTTATTATATAGGTAGTATTTTTCCTGTACAACGATTGGTCAAAATACCGTCACATGATTGACTACAAAACATGATATTGACTTGAGTTTTCTGATAAATTACGATATTGACTTGGGTTACTAAAAATAGACAAGGAATCCCTTACGAAGGGGCTTCCCCCGCTTTTCAGCCAATCAGATCACTCGGATAGATGGCACAATGTGTGCATTAAAAGTTTATGTTAAAACCCGTTTCTCTTTCATTATATAATAAAACAATTATAGACTCTTGTAGAGGTCGATATCGGTTTTTATTGACCTGAGAAAAACAATATCGACCTCGCAAGCTCGGTCGATATTGTTTTACTCAGGTCAATAAAAACCGATATCGACCTCTACAAGAGTATATAATTGTATATTATCATCCAAAACTGTGTTCCACAGGAGATATCGCTTGTGTGAGATCATATGATATCTCCTAGGAGATATCGCTTTGACTGTAGATTTTGTATAATGCCCAGACAATGCTATGACGTCATCAACTTATGACGTCACAATGCTATGACATCGCTGCACTGCAAGTCTAATGGTAGTACAGTGTTGAGAGATGTACATTTGTCATTGAAAACTAATGAAGAATGATTTTTGATGATAAATAGAATCTCACCCTCGTGTCTACTGATATCAATTATATCAACACTCGTTGATATAATTGATATCAGTAGACACTCGGGTGAGATTCTCTATATAACACAAAGAAATATAATCAGTAATTGTTTAGTAACTCTCGTAGTTTAAAAGCATGAACAAGATATTTCGACAGTGTCATCACTGATTTTCAGTGATCCGTCCAAGTAACTTCCACAGGTATTTCGCCTTTCCACACCCATCAGAATCTGCCTCGCTGGATAATCGATCATTACTCGCTGCCAATACCACTTGATGATGGAGCGTTCCTAAACGACAACCTGAAACAATGTCTCCAGTCTCAAGAGGTTGTCGAGTCGTAGTCGTCGTGACGTTGTTTTGATGAGGGAGTTGCACACATGTTTCTCAGTGGGCGTTTGATGTCTCAGCGTGTTAAGCAAGGATTTTCCTGGGTGCCAATTCCCCATTCCTTACAAGTAACCAGGGTTGACTAAGTCAGTTTCATCGGAACTGAAACGTCAATCGAGAACTGTTTATTTAATATTTTTTGTCTCCCAGCTTCTGGACCCGCTAGACGCGTCTATATGTTCTCTCACGAAACGTCTTTCTATACAGCACTTTGTTTTGTATGTAACTGAAACTTTGCATACATAACTCAGCAAACGCTGTGATATATACGGGTTGGAGGCGTACCCAAGTGGTTAAAGCGTTGGCTCGTCACGCCGAAGACCCGGGTTTGATTCCCCACATGGGTACAATGCGTGAAGCCCACTTCTGGTGTCCCCACCGTGATATTGCTGGAATATTTCTAAAAGCGGCGTAAAACTCACTCACTCAGTCCATGTGCATATCACCCTCTAAATAGATCAGTATCAATATATAAATATGTATTACACAGTCAGGTAAGAAGGGGCGGTGGGGTAGCCTAGTGGTTAAAGCGTTGGCTCGTCACGCCGAAGACCCGGGTTCGATTCCCCACATGGGCACAATGTGTGGAGCCCATTTCTGGTGTCCCCCACCGTGATGTTGCTGGAATATTGCTAAAAGCGGCGTAAAACCAAACTCAGTCAGTCAGTCAGGTAAGAAAGGATCGTTTTTAATGATGTTTTAGAATATACAAATGTATTACTGATAAGAATAAGTGGATGTATGCTGTTGGAGAGTTGTTTGTACCTTGATATACAACAATAAAAACAACACGAGTAGTGGCAGTAATTTCCGTGAAGGAATTCAGCCTGTGTACTTCAACCTCCAGAATGTAAGCCTGATTTCTTCAAGGAAGCATAAATGTGTCGCCTGAATAAATCAATCAAATCTTGTGTGATAAAGTTCAATTTGAGTCTTAGATACAATGGCGACATTTCGTGACAAGCTACGAGGGAGCACAGAGGCCATATATAAGCTTCTTGCCCGAGCGGCTTACTCACCGGATAGCGAGTCCCCGCCAGGTATCGCATTGGTATTATGTCGGCCCAGTCCCTCTCAAAGACGTCCCAGCAGTAGGCTACCGATCGATATCAGTTTATCGATTATTGAGGATAACTGATCAGTTTCTGGGGTTACGACAGTGGCGAAATCAATAGTCATCGATAAGGTATATGAGGGCTTGTATACATAGGAAGTGTCACATTTACTCGTCATCCTGTTTGTACAGTAAAATAT